CCTCCCGAGTTCAACTCGATTCCATCATTTCCATAGATCAAGACGCCATGGTTGCTATCAAGAGGGTTGCTGTCATTGGGGCTGGGCCCGGCGGTGCCATCGCCGTTGATGCCCTGGCCAAGGAGAAGGCTTTCGACCTGATCCGCGTGTTTGAGCGCCGAGAGGCGGCCGGTGGCTGTTGGTGAGTGGTCTCGCTCTCTCTCTTTCTTTCTACTACGTTTTTCTCTTTCTTTGGTTCTCATTATGAGAAGTCAAGATGAGGCTCCAGCACAGTGAGTGAAGCTAACCGGCCAGGCTCGGCGACACAACGCCACCGCCGCTGCTCACGGACCTCGAGGCCCTCGCCAACCGTACGGCTGACCCTCCGGTGGACATCCCGGACCGGCTGCCGGCCCAAACGCCGAAGCTCACTCAGCCCCGCTTCGCCGACTCCTCCGTCTACCCTTACCTCGAGACAAATGTCGACGCGATCCCCATGTCCTTCAGCCAGGAGCCCATCCCCTCCGACCGCTCACCACACTCGGTGGCCCTCCATGGCGAGGACACGCCGTTCCGGCACTGGACCGTCATCCGCCGCTACCTGCAGTCGCTCCTCGAGCGTGACGGCTACGAGGACCTCGTCTCCTACAGCACGACGGTCGAGCGCGTCGAAAAGGTCGGCCACGAGTGGAAGCTGACGCTGCGGCGGGACGGCGAGCGCTCCGACTACTGGTGGACCGAGTGGTTCGACGCCGTCGTCGTCGCCAGCGGCCACTACTCGGTGCCGTACGTGCCGGCGATCCCGGGCCTCGACACGTTCGAGAAGCTGCGTCCGGGCTCGGTGCTGCACAGCAAGAACTTCCGCGGCCGGGACCACTACCGCGGCAAGCGCGTCGTCGTCGTCGGCGCCTCCGTGTCGGCGGCCGACATCGCCTACGACCTCGCCTCGGTGGCGCAGACGCCGGTGCACGCCGTCGTCGACGGCCACCGCGCCAACCTCTACTTTGGCGACGAGGCCTTCAACCACCCGCGCATCGCGCGCCGGTCCGACATTGCGCGCGTCGACGGCCGCACCGTTCACTTTGCCGACGGCCGCGAGCCCGCACGCGACGTCGACGCCATCATCTTCGGCACCGGCTACACCTGGACGCTGCCCTTCCTGCCGGGCGTCGAGGTGCGCAACAACCGCGTGCCGGGCCTGTACCAGCACGTCGTCTACCAGCAGGAACCGACGCTGCTCTTTGTCGGCGCCGTCGCCGCCGGCCTGACCTTTAAAATCTTTGAGTGGCAGGCCGTTCTCGCGGCGCGCCTGCTCGCCGGCCGCGCCACGCTGCCGCCGCTGGCCGAGCAGCAAAAGTGGGAGGCCGACCGTATCGCGGCCTTTGGCGACGGCCCGCGCTTCGCCCTCGTGCACCCGCACTTTGAAGACTATTTCAACGAGCTGCGCCGCCTCGCGGGGCCCGGCGAGAACGGCCTCGGCCGGCAGCTGCCCGTCTTTGACCGAGCGTGGTTCAAGTCCTTCCTCGACGGCCACGAGAGGCGGAAGAACATGTGGCAGAGGCTCAACGCAAAAGCCTGGGACGAGGCTGGCGTTGACGAGCTCAACTTGGGCACGGTGCCGGGAGCCGGTCGCAAGACGATCGAAGCACCGCCCGCGTATGACTGGGACACGATCAGGAAGCTGCCGTTATTGCTGCAGGCGTTGCAGGGACTCAACACAAAGGCCTTCTAGGCGATGATCGTGGGTATGTTCGATAGAGAATAAAGCGTTCCTTCTCCTTTCATGTATCGACCGTCGCAATGTTGCCAGCACAATGCAGTGTGCATCAGAGTCTTTTCGTACAAGCTTTTGATCGAGTCTGCTCAAGACAGAGTGACCTTGGTTAGCCACAGCGCGGAAGAGGAATTTGGAACCAAAAAAAGTTGCAACATGTGATTATCCCAAGCCTTCCCAGGCATGCAATGCTGTCATGACTCGTCCCATCCAGTGTGCCCGTCCTGTTCCTGTGCTCAAGTAGCATCGCGTCAAGGGGAAAACGCCCAATAGCACCCAACACACTAACACCATCAAGTCGACCACCAAATCATTGTCCTCTCCTCATCGCCTGCGCCGGAATTTGCTGTTGAAACCAGCGCCGCCCTTGGAGCCCGTGTTTCTGAGCTTCAGGCGCCGGAAGTTGGTGTGCGCAAACTCGTTGACCTTCCTGGCCGTCTTCTTGACAGCTCCTTCCTTCACATTCTTCTTGACGGTCTTCTTCGAGCTCTTTCCCTTGGCAGCCTCAACGTCAGATCCCTCGACGTCTGACGGCACAAAGTCTGCCTCGTCACCTGATGCGTATTCGTTTTCCTTGTTGGGGTTCATCTGCGTTTCAGGAACCACGTCATCGTCCTCCTCCGCGAGCGCGCCATCGACTGGTGCCGTCGGCCTCTTGTGATGCACCGGCTTCATGTTCGACCTCCTTGTCGTCCTCTTCTGTCCCTTCTTCTTGTACACCTTCAAGGGCTGCCCGTCACGTCCCAGCTGCTCCTCAGGCTCGCTGTCGTACATGCCCTCGTCGTCGAAGCCGCCCAGCGGCAGGTTCATGACCTGACTGTCGGCCACCAGGACATCGTCTTGTGGCTTTGGCGGAGGCTTCATCTGCATCGGCGCCGGCGCCGGCGCCAGCCCCGTCTCGCCTTGCTCCATCTCCCGCAGCGCGTCCATATCGTCGTCGTGTGCCTCTTCCTCGACCTTCCGCAGGCTGGCCACGATGGCGCTGAGGCCGCGGCCCAGTGGTTTGCGGGGCAGCCGCAATGGCGCGGCGGCAGGGAACTCGCCGTTCTCGTCGACAGGTGCGAAGCTGTGCCTCTTGAGAAAGGCAGGAGTGCTGAACTGGAGCTTGGAGACCGACGTTGACGAGGACGGGGTCTTGTCGCCGTTGGCGTTCATATTCTTGAGTTTCAAGGGCGTGACGAAGCCATCCGTTTTTCGCTTTTTCCCGGAAGAATTTGGAGTGGTGGCGGTCTCCAAGTTGGCTGCGCCGCGCTTGCTCGGAGTGGCGAAGAACGACAGAGGAGCATTGGCTGTCTGCGATGCCCCGTTCGCTCTTGAGGGCGTTCCCAGCTCCCGCTCCGACATCAGATCAAACAGCCCCATGACGCGGCCATCTCGCTGCGGCGTGGGTCCAATCGACCGCGGTGCTGCGGGACTGAACAAGTGGCGGGCGATGGAGGGGGTGCTCGTGTTGGCGTCGTCGTAGAGAGGCGGCAGTGATTTTGAAGGCGTGGCATCGAGCGAGGCGTTTCGTGATTTGGAGGGGGTTGCAAGGTGTTTTTGGCGTTTTGAAGGCGTCTGTACCGGCACATGGTTTGATTGTCGCTTCTCTAATTGTCGCTTCTCTGGCTTTGGGTGTTCTGAGGGGGGCGGGATCTTCCCAGACAGTATGTCACGGGTCTTGTTGTACTGCTTGTATTTCAGGGCTGCCTCGTTAGCAAGGTCGTTCAGACATGGCCAGATGGGAGAAGATGTGTGTACCAATCTCAGCATTCTGCTTAATGTCGTCCCGTCCTGGTTTCTTGCCATCGTGGGTCTTTGCCCAAGTGGTCTCCCAGGTCTTGAGGTCGGCGCGCAAGTCTCGCGACTGGGCCTCGTACTTAGCCCTGTCGTGCTCCTCCATCGAAGTTTGATTCGAGCGGGCAGCCGTGGCGACGGTGTTGGGTAGCTCGAGGGTACGCCAGGTTGTCGGTAGAAGAAGTGATATGCTCAGACGTCAGGATCGAGGTAAGTTGAGGTTGCAGCAGGTGGTGATGCCATGTGCCTTCCTTTTCCCTGTCTGAGAGCATCCCTCGTCTGAGTGGGAAAGTACCAGGGACAAGCACTAAACGCGTCGCCATTCGATTCGCGTTCCTGTCATTCTCGCGTCCGGGCCCGCCGCCGCACGTCCTTGTCCACCCTATTGATTCCCCGCTTTTTGGGCACCACGCCACAGAGGGCAGCCTTCACTGGAATAAGGTACCCTTTTTTGGGGGGGGTGTGTGCTCGCGACAACAAAACACGTATTAGGATAGAATACTTCTGAAGCCGAATGAACCCCAAGCCCGCTCGCTCTCCATGCCAAATGAACTGAGCGGTTCACTTCATAGCTGTAGGGCGGGCACGGAGCGACTGGAGACAAAGCTACATCCAAATCTTACATACGTAGCCGCTGTGCCATGCATCGTGTGAACCTTCAGGCTTTAAACTGACCGCCCAGTACTGAGGTTGAGGAAACAAGCAGTGAAGAGAGAGCGTGAATCTCGAGATAGTCTGTATGATGCTGAGATTGTGTGCACATCTAGATCCAAGCCAGGCGCCCCAGCATCGTCGAGAGTTGTCGACGCTTCACCCGCGCTCAAACATCTATAGATGTTCTGGTGAAGCAAGTTGTAGTGTTCATCACGGGTCCTTCTACCTGACCCTAACGCTGAGGGTTGGTTTGTATTGGACATGCCGTGGTGGCGAATGTTGGCACATCACCCCCTGGATACCATATCACTCCACTAAGCTTAGGCTGCCTACCCACCCAGTTAGGTAGCTTGGGTAGGTGTCCCAGGGGATCTAGGGGAGCCGCACCTGAGCCTCACGACCCCATATTCTCCTCCTCTCCCAACTCCCTCTCGCCACACCCATGATATTGGCAAACACATCGACCCAAGAACACTGCAGGCAGCGGCATGTCAGCAATACCGCCTGACACCGATACCAGGCCCTCCCTCCAAGACATCCACTCCGCCGTCCTGCAAACAACGCTCAAGACGTTCGCCTCGACCGAGGACTGTTGCGTCATCTGTCTCTCTGAGCTCTCCGAGGGATGCGAAGCACTCCCCTGCCACCACGCCGACTTTGATTTCCTGTGCCTCACCACCTGGCTCGAGCAGCAGCCGACGTGCTCGACATGTCCCCTCTGCAAGGCCGAGATCACCGAGATTCGGTACGACTTTTCGTCAGACCGGGCGCAATGGAAGACCTACCACGTCCCGCCAAAACCAGCACCACCACCACAGCAGCAGCAGCAGCAACACCACAGATCCCATGATAGGACCCGCAGCGGCCCTGGTCCCCATACATCGCCAGGTCACTTTGCCGGACGCCGCCGCTTCGACCCCCTCGGCCTCCGCCGCCCTCGCCCTTCGCTCTACCGCACCCGTCGCGCGCGGGGCTCGGCCCAGGACGACGACCCGCTGCGGCACCGCCGCTTCGTCTACCGCAACCAGCTCTACTCGCTGCGCGTCGGCTCGAACCGCGTGTCGCGCTACCGCGAGCTGACGCCTCACATGTTCGCCACGGACGCGGAGCTCGTCTCGCGCGCGCGCATGTTTCTGCGCCGCGAGCTGCAGGTCTTTGACTTTCTGGCGCCCACGAGCGACACGTCGACGGCGGCGGCTGCGGATCCAGCTGCCGCCGCCGAGAGGGACCCCCGTGCGACGGCGCAGGGCCAACAACGCCGAGTTCCTGCTCGAGTACATCGTCGCCATCCTCAAGACGGTCGACATACAGGGGAGCATGGGCCAGGCCGAGGAGCTCGTTCGGGAGTTCCTCGGGCGGGAGAACACGAGGCTGCTGCTGCACGAGCTGCGCGCGTGGCTGCGCAGTCCGTACATGGCGCTCGAGAACTGGGACAATGCCGTGCAGTATCCCGAGCTGCGAGCCAAGCGGGGGCGGTCGCGGAGTCGCAGCCCTTCTGTCGAGGGCACCTCGCGACCGGGGCGGGAGCAGGTCACGTATCCCTCGACGTGGCGGAGGGGCGACAGTTTGGGAGACAGGCCAGGGACGTCGCAGTTGAGGTTTGCGCGGGAGTAGACATTTGCCCGCTTTTCTGTTGAGATACCCATGAACATGTAGAATGATTTACGATGAAATTTGTCACCGAGACCCAGTTCTCCTCTCTCCCTGTCGATTCCAGCCTGCAGGCATCCCAAAAAGAGACGAGAAAAAGTATGATAGAGCACTGCATTGACAAACCAATCATCCCGTCGGCGTCATTTTACTTCCGACCAAGTTGCTACTCCAACACCAGTCGACGACCCCACGCCCAGCTCGATTTGGTGCCGCCTGCTGACGGACAACGGTTTCGGACGCCTCGACCGAGGCACCGGCCGCGTTGTTCCACCGCACTACAGCAAACTCCACCGGGCAAGGCCGAACAAAAGACGCCGACGTGCTGACAAATGTCCGCCACGACCGCCGACTTTAAAGAATGGCCGGCCCAGCTCATGAACACGACTCTTGACAGCCTCCATCACATTCGTCTCGTTGTGTGCTTCACTCGAGAGCACTATTGAAGATCAACCGAATCCATTCGCAGAGACGAACTTCCACATCATCCACCATGACCAACTTTAACATCAAGATCATCTCGGACAACGTCTGCCCCTGGGTAAGCAGCCTCGCCTCCAGCCTTCCCTCAGCCTTCCCTCAGCCTTCCCTCAGCCTTCCCTCAGCCTTCCCTCCAGTCACCCTGCAGCTCCAGCTAACAGCCCCCAGTGCTACGTCGGCAAGAGCCGCCTCGACAAGGCCATCGCGCTCTACCAAAAGACGGTCCCCGCCGGCAAGGACGACACCTTCACTGTCACCTGGTCCCCCTTCTACCTGGACCCGACGTCGCCCAAGCAGGGCGTGCCGCTGCGCGAGCGCATGGCCCAGCGCTTTCGGCCCCGGCCGCTTCGACGCCATGTCGGCGCGCCTCGCCCAGATCGGCGCCCGGCGAGGGCATCCGCTTCTCCTTCGACAGCCGCATCGGCAACACGCGCGACTCGCACCGCGTCGTGGCGCTGGCCCAGGCCAAGGGCCCCGAGACGCAGAACCGCGTCGTCGCCGAGATCATGCGCAGCTACTTTGAGGAGGACGGCGACATTACGAGCAAGGACATGCTCGTGCAGGCGGCCGTCAAGGGCGGGCTCGAGGCCGGCGAGGTCCGGGCCTGGCTCGAGAGCGACGGCGGCGGCGCCCAGGTCGACCGCGAGGTCCAGGAGGCGTATGCCCTCGGCGTCAGCGGCGTGCCGCACTTTGTCGTCGACGGGCAGCAGCTCGGCGGCGCGCAGGATGTTGAGGCGTTTGTCGAGGTGTTTGCCAACATTAAGGAGAAGAGGGCGTAGGCATCACAGCACTCGCTTGTCCTTTCTCTTGTGTTGTCTTTCGCTTGTATCGTCTTTCGCTTGTCTTGTCTTTCGGTCGGTAAACGGGGTATCATTGTAGTTTCATTACATACCAAAATATCTCGGGCGTTTTTGCTTCTCATCCAACACGGCAAGTCGATGACTTGTTGTTTGCAGGTGCCTCACATGTGAAGCAGCCCTCCAAGATCCTTGTCCATAGCCCTCAGCCGCGCCTGAAGCTCCCTCTTCTTGCGCTCAAGCTCCCGCACCTCCTCCTCCTCCGCCCGCAGGTCCTCCTCCGTCATGACATGCCCGTCATGCGCGCCGCCATCCTCGTCCTCGTCCTCGTCCTCGTCCTCGTCCTCGTCCTGCTCTTCGTCCTCCTCGTCCTCGTACCCCCACTGGCCCTTGGCGCGCTCCATACTCGCCGTCAGCTCAGCGACGCGAGCCTCGTAGTACGCAGCCGTGTTCGCGTTCCGCCCCCACCGCCCCCGCAGCGCCGCGATCCGCGCCTCGGCCCCGGGCAGCGCGTACACGCCGCACAGCTTCTCGGCGCCCCGCAGCAGGACCTCGACGTCGACGTCGTCGCCCGCCCGGCGCCGCGCCAGCTGCGCGTGGAGGTCGCCGCCCAGCACGGCGGCGACGGCCGTGTTGCGCCGCGCCGGGCGACCCGTTGGTCCGCCGCCCGTCGTGACCTCGCCTGACGAGACGGCGAAGACGGTCTTGCGGCGGTCTTGGGGGCGGGATGTTGACGCTGCGGCGGCGGCGGCGGGGTCGGGCTGGGCTGTTGCTAGGGGTGGCGGCGGGGGCACGGAGAAGAGGGCGCGTTCGTGGGGTTCCGTATCGCGGATGAGTGAGGTGATGTCGGTGTTGTGGAGGAGGGCGTTGGTGAAGATCTTGGGCGGTGGGAAGCTGGTTTGGGCGGTCAGCGTCTGGTTTGAGCTCTGTCGCTCAGAAATGGGGCCTGTGCAGACTTACGGGAGCGATTCGATGCCTTGGCAAGAGAGGGCTATCTGCTCGAGGTGGATGCTGAGAAGGTGTGACATGGTGATGGCATGGGAATCGTGAGAGTGTTTGTCGTCAGGTCATAAAAAGCAGGAAATTGAATGACCAGATCAGACAGGTGTTTTTGTCTCCTGACGGACTTCCCTGTCGCGCCACAACGAAGTAGCTGCTGTTGCAAGATGATGCCCTGGGTTGGTCTTGTTGACATTCGAACGGACGACTCTGGACCCCACCAACAGCAGTTGTACAGTTGCAGTGGGAGGGGCAGCTTCTGTATTATGTAATCGGTAGCTTCCCTTCACCACAGCTATAACAGCTACAAAGGGGATCACCAACATTTTACCAGGTACCTAGGTGAATACCTGGTCTTTCACTCTTCGCTGGCTATTCCTGAGCCTTCACCTGGATATCCGCAGCAGTTCCACAGCTTCGTGCATGGCAGACGCTCCACATGTTGCACAAGTCAATAGGCCAACCAAATCCACAATATCATGAGAGCACTGAAGCCCTTCTATTGCAGCACATCTATCGCCCCCCAAAATACTCATAAAAAGATCATCAAAAATATGGAAACGAGGAAGCTGTGAGAAAGAAAAGAAAACCGTGCTCCAATATCCAAACCATCGCTTATGCCCCTCAATGCTGTAATCCGCCAGAAGTCTATCGATGAGGTATCAAAATGGGGGGATCGAGAAAGATGTCATACTAGAAGTGAAAATGGGAACATGGAAAAAAAAAAGAAGACGCAAAAAAAAAACTAGTCTATCCGGCTCCCAATCATCATCAACATTGAAATCGTTCCTTCAGCCGTAGCCCCCCTTTTTTGTGCGTGTGCAAACGTGGAAGGGTAAAAAAGCCCGTCCACTACTCATCCTCGTCCATCTCCATAATCTCCATCGCATAATATGGCAGCTCGCGCGCCAGCGTCTCTCCGTCCCCAAACAGCATCCCGAAGCCCCTCATCAGACGACCTCGGCCCTCCTCGCAGCTGTCGGGCTCCTCGAGCTCCTCGATCCTCTCGGGTGGCGGGTCCTGGAACTGCAGGCTTCGCCGGTCGCCCACACGGCGCCTCAGCCTGCGCGCACTCGCGCCGACAGCATCCCACGGCGTGTCGGGCAAGTCTTCTTTTCCGTCGCTATCGCTGCGCTCCGAGTGCGTGCGCTTGCCGATGGAGCTGCCGTGGGAGCGGCGCTTGCGCATCTTGAGAGCGCGCTGCGCAAGGACAAATTCCTTGTGGGCCGCATCGTCAGAGGCATCGAAGAGATCATCCTCTTCCTCGCCGTCGTCCGAGCCGCTGCAGTTGAGGTTTTGAAGGTGCTGCATCATGTTGATGTCTAGGTCTGGGTAGGGGCGGGGTCGGTGCGGGAGATGTGCGTGGTTCTTGGGGGCTGAGACATCGCTTGTCGAGCTGCCCGCGCCGCGAGAGCGGGACCGCGAGCGATCTGATTCGGGGTACTCGAAGCTTGTTGGGGGAATGACGCCGACACGATTGTCATCCATGGGGTCAAAATCGGAGAGTTCCTCCACGGTAAAGTTGGCAACAACGGGAGTTGTGCGATCTGTTGGTGGCTCTGGGGCGTGCGTAATATGAGGGACGGACTGGGGCTCGTGCATGTCTTCGTCCGAGTCAGAGTCGTTCTCATCTTCCTCGTCCTCTTCACTATCATCATCATCGTCGTCGTCATCATCGTCGTTGTCCACCTTGTTTGGGACGTTTAGCACTTTGCGTGCCGCAGGTAGTGGGGCATTGGTGATGTGGTCATCATCATCATCTTCCTCCTCCTCCCCCTCGACGTCGTCATCATCAAC